AAATGCACTACTACAGCTTTTTTGTGCGATTATTTTTGTGTGTGATTTGCGAGTTCGGTTGGCATTCCTCCGGCTCTTTGATTCGGTGTAACCAACGGCGAAACTTATCGGTGGTGATACTCCCATGGCAATCGGCGTAATTTTACTGCGTTACAGCGTCCGAAAATTATGTTTTATGCAAGTTCACAACTTATCAATAACAACACGGGAATAGGGCATGCTTTAAAGATGTTGCTTATGTAAATTCCCCGCCAGTTCACTTCCCTTACAAATGCTTTCATCATGACCGCTAACAGTAAGTTCCTGACGAATTCCGTCAAAGACATTTAACCAGGTTGCACGAAATAGGCCGTCTGAAATGTCATACATGAATTCTGTCCCAAATAGGTTCTCCATATCTTCGCCTTTCTCCAGCAGCAGGTACAGCGTATGGAGCTCATCGGCTGAATCCATTGGCCGAAGTATAATACTGACGGCAACTCTACAGTGACTGACCAGGCTGCGATCCAGAAGCCTACCCACAACCACATGGTTTGCTTTTTTCTCGCATACAATGGCATTCATACCTCAGATGGTCGAGATGGACTGTAGCGGACTAATAAGAGATACGTCACAATTTATACAAAATGCTTTATTGGAGTAATTCACTGCGTACAGCAATTCCTTCTTAGCAAAGGATGCTTTACAATAAAGGTCACAACTATATGATTATGCCGCGGAAATGTGGTTAGATTAAACTCCATGTTTGCCTGGGATCTTCAATTTCCTTTTCAACCTGCGGCGACTATGCCAACTCCAACCTGGATGGTGGGTGGGAATACTCGGTGTCCAAGCTGCATGCGGCAGTTGGACAAGACCAAATTATTGGTGTTTCGCACTTAAAGGAATGCTAAAAATAAAGGTGGCTGAATTTGTAAATAAATGTATATTCTCAATTGTAAATGGGTAACATCATCGAAAGCCTGATATATTTATACGGCCAGCAATCGTCTGACGGTAAGGGCAATAGTTATATTCATGGCTAAATTAGTATGCTGCCTAATGGTGTCATCATTTCGTCGTAGCAGACTGAAGTCTAAGAGCTCTGTCAAGAATTGTTTCTTATGAACCCACGAAGGGTGAATATTCCGCTGTAACACATGCCCGATCGAAACGGTAAAGCGAACAACACGGTAAACTTATGATGTGCTCCTGGAAGTATGGTTCCCGATAGCAGTGCAAGCAGCTTAATTTAAGCTTACGGGCTTGTTGGAAGCAGGTCATGAGGCGATAACAGTTTCTTTGACGATAGCAATACAACGCTTATCGACCGGTCACCACATAACCCCAGGCTGTTTTTTCTCAGTTAGTAGCACAGCGACACACTTCGCAGGAAATCATTTTGCTGAATTTTCACCTGCGTGAAGGCCGACTACCGATTGATCGAAGTATGACACGTTCAATGCGGCTATGTTGTGTCCGACTTACTTTCAGTTCTCACAGTTGAATGTTGTGCGTTCCTTAGGTCTTGCCATGCGGTCATGACGCGTTCCCTGCGGCTGTGGTGTCTGGCTAACCTTCAATTCTCATCCATTCGAACGGTTCAGTATGCTCTGAGATCGTAGACACCCATGCGACGTCTGTGTCTCATCTCCCCCTGCCGGCAAAGCTATATACGCCATTGGACAGTTAGCAATTCAGCGTATCGGTTGTACGTCAGCACCAGAGTGCAGCCGCTCCTAGCTCCGGACCACGTTAACAAAAGCCCCCGGTAGTCACACCACTATAACCCAGGTTAGATATACTTCCCGTACTGTGTAGATTACAGTGAGTAAAGTATGAAGCACACGCTTTAAGCACTAGCTGAACTTGGAAACCTCTCCTCAATTGGCCACTTCGTAACTATCAGCGGATTTAGAATGCGAGTACTTCTTTTTGTGCATATTCTTTTGTTTGCTTATGTCGAAAGAGTTATATCGGTTGGGCTGACATCTTACTGTCCGAGAGCAGCCGGGAGCGTTATCAATCTTGGATGTATATCGGACTTAGTAGAACAGTATCAACCGCAATGTCTGGGCATCTGTTTGTTTCAATCTACCAGTTCATCAACTACCAGTTCCGTCATTCTACCGCATGCACAAATGGCATAATCAACCTATTAGTTTAATCTCTGTGTTAAAGAACGAGTAACAGCGGACTAACAAAGACGTGTAGTATAGAATAAAGCCCTCCAATTTTATTGGAATATTTATTCAAATTGACTGTTTGCAATTGAACTCACTTCTGTGTGCAATCTAGTTTATTCACTGACACGACGAAGTAAAATCACTCAAAACCAAAAGAAAATAAAGGTCATATCAAGAGAAATAATGTGACAAGCGAACGTTTGCCATTCTGCTAGGAAATGTCCTCAAGGTAAAGCAAAAGAAAAAGGCTTGAAAGAAAGTGTCCATAAATAGAGCAGTATGATAAAACGGAAGCAGTTGTTTAAAATGCACATTGCCCCTACCTCTTATGAATTGAGTGGATACCAATTCTGTCCAAAAATACATGCCATTCGGATGGGTTTTGCCAGTCTAGGCGGTGTGTCTCTTCTATTCTCTCTATCTTTGCTTTGCAAACCGACAAAGTTATCTGATACAAATATGCTTCCATAAATTCAATGCAGCACTTGACTGAGCATCACTGTTATCAGAAAAGTAGTCGGTTATTGATTAGACTGTCATTATAGATAAATTTGTGACAACGTTATATATAAATCACCTAATTATGGTTCAATAACTCCAAATTATTGCCTATGCTCACCGGAACTTCAACTCATGCAACATTATTTT